GACMCTAAAGTACGTGCTCAGCTCCTCTGTTTCTTTACAAGTGTGTGTTAACAGCCTCTGCTTAATCCAGCTGGCCACACAAGGAACAAGGCACTACCATGATACAAAATCAGTAGAAAATTGCCTTAATACATTATTCTTCTTATTATGTCCAAGTCCAAGTGCTGCTTGTAGGAATTACAGGGAGAATACTGAGTGTGTTTCTTTTCTTCTGCTTTCTGCTGAAATTACTCATTGACCTGTGAGCAGCATTTGCTTTCTTGAGAAAACAAGTTGTTGACATTCCTGGTGTGTCTCTGCATCCAGCAAAACAATATATTGGCAACCATTTTGTATTTCTCTGGCTTGAACAACACTGAAACTATTGTCTGCTTCTAAGCAATGATTTGACTGAGGTGCCCTATTWTTGTAGGCTTCTGAAGAAATAATTTGATTTTTCTATGAATTGAGCTTCGAATACTGGTTTGAGCTTCTTCTAATTTTTTTTCATTCAGTCTGTAACAATAGAATTAAAACACTCTCTTGACTTACCAACATGAAATCATCTTTCTCTAAGATTTTGGCAGGTTCTGYATTTGTATAATAATATAATTCCTTATGAGTCCAGTAATTTACACATGTTCATTCTGGTGGTAAGCTCCAGAGTAGTTTYTCTCTTTCCCTTTCAAAAATATATTAAGATAAATTAAAACCTTTAACAAGGTTTTAAAGCAAGAAACCCTTACCAAGWCTGATTTTGGGCAGTCCTGGGTAAAGGCACCTTAGGCTGGTGAAAAGATGCTAATTTTCAGCACCTGAGCAAGTAACAGTATCAGCACAACCGTGCTCTTAGAAAGATTCTTCATTCTTTTCTTGGTGGTGATTAATATATGAGTAGTAGGTGACTGATCCACACATGGTATCCTGACACAAGACCCAAGATAAGCGCAGGTTATATAACTCTACCTGTTGCATAGTTTGATACAAAGAAAAGAAAGAATTCAGCAGGCGGCACGCAGAAATTTATAAGAAAATGTGGGAAACATCTTTAGTCAAGAGTAACACCATTCATTTCGGTGATCTGACCGTTCTGGTCCTGCAGAAAGCAGAGTTGTGGTTCAGTGTCCTTCAGACACTTCCCACTGAAAATGTGGATTTTGGCTGCTCTGAGTTCTCTGTTAAAGTCATGATATTGCTGTGGTCTAAAAGGAGGRGTATGAGAAGCGTAGATTGTTTCTTTAAGAAAACAAAGCAGRCTCACGTCAATATTGTTTCTGCAGTAATCCTACTAGTACTTCTAATTTTCAAATAATGTTATTTTTAATAAGTGATTTTAGCTTTTTTTGTTACAACCATCTTTTTGTATTCAGTCATCCATGAAGTTTTATATGTATGCTGTCACATTTTTCTGTCATGTTTTTTTTATTCATATGCACAAACACCTGCATACAGTTTCTATATTGGCTGGAACTGGTACTCCCAACATAAATTTTATTAGCAGGAGATACCTGGAAATGTTTGGCTGTRCAGAGCTCTGCAAGACTTGAAGCAWTCAGGCTATTTCCRGTTAAGTATCAGTTTCATGCTGAAATGATTTTTTAGGATGAAAGGAAGAGTTTGCTTTTCAAAGAGCAAGGTTAAGAGAAAATAAAATGCTCTGTCTGAATTTAAAAAATTGTCGTGGAGAAGCTCTGGTGCACTTTCTGAGCCTGAGGGGGTGCAGGGTGTGGAAGGAAAGGGAACAAGAAGGTTGTTTGGAATGAGGGAAATGCTTTTGCTGATTCTATGGGGAACTGCCCGCTTCTGACTCAAGTTTTAAAACTTTAGGAAAATGTTTGCATGGGGTTTACAAAGACTTGTGAGAGATTTACCAGTTACATTCTCAGAGGATTACACCAGTTCTGCTCATATAAAGTCTGTAGAGCTGTACCACAGAGCTGAGAGGGCTTTTCCTCTGTGTTACACAGAGCTTGTTATGACACCAGGTATTAAAACCATAAAGAGCAACGAGCCTCAGATTCTTGGATACTGGAACTGGCAGCTGGCAGGCGGAGGGAGAGGCAAAACAGTGGGGTAAAAGGATGTCAAGGAAGAGTGGGACCAGCTGAGGAGTTCACCCAGCTCCAACTTATGGCAAATACAGCCACAGGTTCTGTGGTGATGGCTGAGATTTGCCCCCTGGTCCCCTGTTGCCAGCAAATATCCATGCAACCCACTGGGAAAGGCTTTAGCCACACAAGACTCATCTTGCATCTCCTGCTCCTTTCACTGTGTATTTGCCAGCTCCTGCATGAAATGAGATGGGTATCCAGGTTCTGCAGATGACATTCTTACATTCTGCCCAGCTTTGACTGATAGCAGAAGGCCCAGACTATGCCAAGGATCCGGCAGGGCAGGAGGGAGCAAGAGGGTTCCTGTGGAAGAACTGAATTTATGATGTTCTAACTCAAAACTGTCGCAATGTCTGTGCGTGAGAGGATCCAGTTGTGGCTGTTTCAGACTATTTTAACTGCTGTTTCTTACAGACTGAGTGCTGCTCTTTGCAGCACTGACAGCCTTCTAATTCAGCTGCTGTGTGGTCTGTCTGCAGATAAACATTTGTGGATGCATATGCTGTGGCGTATGTACGTGCACAAATAAATATATCTGTTCCCATGACTGCGCTGAGATAAAAGGTTAGGTTGGACTGCAGCTAGGAATAAGAYTATTCAAAGTTAAAAGATGAAAATTTTATATTTTTGTATGTTTTTTCTCTCCCAAATGGGTTTACAAACAGAGTATGCTGGAGTGGCTCGAAGGTTGAAGTTCATGCTTCAGACATGCAACATTCTAAGTAAAACCACACTGGTAACTCCAGTATTCCTTGAATTTTTGTCTCTTCAGCTGTCCTTGCTCACCCCACCCATCCCACTGTTCCAAAAGCAGTAATAACTGAGCTGGTTGATAAGAAAAGGGTAGAGCACCACCAGGTTTTTTTGGGGGAAGAATTGTGCCCAGCACATGGTGAAGAAGGGCATCATCATGGAGCTGAGGGCACTGGAGTCTGTGGAGGGGGATGTAGAGGATGTGACCATCAGGAAGCAGCAGCAGGGCTATGTGGGCATGAGGGGGGAGTRCAAAAGGGTTTGAAGAAGGGAAGCCATGAAGGTCTTCAAAGGAAGGGTGTCACACCAAAAAAACAAAAAAACCACACTCTCTCTACTAGGAGAGTAGGCATGACTCCCAACAGGCTGTAAGTGAGGTGGAGAAGCTAAAAAGTTTCAGTATCAAAGTGCTGCAAGCTGGCCTGATCATTCTGCCTGCAGAAGTGAAAAGTTTGTKTTCAGAAGTATTTGGTGGAGGGGRGGGAGATCTTTGGAKGKTTTTTTGGGGGGAGGGGYGTTCATTAAATAARCAAGATCCTGGAGACAGATATTTAACGTCTGAAGGGGGGAAAATTTCAGGAAGGCTTCGCTAGATGACAATGACTCAAAAAAAATGGAGGCACAGTTACACCTTCACCTAATGTAGCTCCCCAATAAATTTTTGAATGGGTGGTTGCCATCATTTGCATAAATTCAGTAACTGAACCACCCCTAATGATTAATTGAAGGGACTGTTGTAAAGCCCAGGACAAATGGATGTAGCAGAAGACATCCAGATCCATTCCCGTAATCAGCTCATTCATTTTGTGAGAAATAAAACTCCAAAACCTCAGCAGAGAAACTGCTGGGTTTTACAGAAGAGCTTTTATTGCCATCTACTGGTTTAAACWGGCAGCTTGCTCGGCTGCATCGCCCTTTCTAAGAACCATTTGGAAAATGTTTGCTTACTGAGAAAATATTTTGAAGAGATTGCTTCAGAGTATTCCTTAGGCAAGCTTATCTTTGGCATGCTATCAGACGAGTCTGTTTGCAGTTAGCTGTGTTGGCATGCCAAGCTTTATGAAAGGGGGTTCATTTAAACATCTGGAACCTGAYGCTCCCATCAATGCACTGCAGCTTCACTTTGCAGGAAATCAGCCCCAGGAACACACAGAGGGTTTTGTGCATGTGGTGTGCAGCAGGTTGTGTGTTCCTGAGCTTGGAAAACTGGAGTTGCCAACGTTTCTTTCTGCTTTCAGCTTGCAAACTACATGAAATGGAGTGGGGTTTGAAGAAATGCATTCTCTTACTTAGTTCTTCAGGTTTTCCAATTGCTCCAAAGCCCCCGAAAAATAGTCAGACAGCTTGAAACTTGGAGCCGTGATTCAAGTCTGAATCAAGTYATTGAAAAGGTGAAATTAGCTTGTTTTAGAAACACAGTTATGAAAGTAAAAGGCCGGATTCTGTGTCTTTCTCAAGCAAGATGTAAGATCTTTAGCATGATTTCTCCAAATTCCAAAGCCTTTTGTATATTTTTCTGTCTGTTCAGTRTGAAATTCCTAAGAGATAGCTTTTCAGGTTTTTTTTTCTGGAGGCATCAGTGCTGGCTGACAAGTCACTGCCAGGCTGCTGTATAACTCAGATCAGTGGAGTGTTTATCTTTCATCAGATGAACTAGGTGTTTGTACAAGCACTCCCAGTCTCCTGCAGATTTGGGGAGCTCAGAATGAGAAAGATCAACAGTGACATAATTCAAATGATTTAAAATCCTGCATCCATTTTGGCTGGAAGAAATGGAAATATGACCTGGCAGTGGTAGCCATTTCAGTCTGTACACAGGTGTCTACAGCCTTGCACTCACAAATACACAAAAAGCTTCTCACACAACGATTAAATCTGAAGAGACAGCAGTAAAAAACAGTAGCAGCATCAAAAGGCTGTTTTTAAACTAGATTTGTTGATTTGGAATTTTAAACTGTATATCAGACACTGCAGTAAGATGGCAGAATTGTGGAGAGTTTATTTTTTTTTTTTCCCCTGGCACACTCATGTTTGTTCCTGAGACTACCACAGCCTGACCATCCTCTCAGTGGYCATTGTTTGCAGATCTCAACCAAAGCCTTTGTACTCCTTGTCACTTACAGTTCCTGTTTTTCTATCTTTGTTCTTTTCTCACAGCTACAAGCCCCCAGTGTGAAAGGCTTTGATTTTGCCAAGCAGCATCTGGGCCAGCACAATAAAGATGATGTCCTGATTATCCATGAGCCAGCTCCTTTACCAGGACCTATCAAGGATACCACCCCGTCTGAAAACGGAGATGTGCCCAGCCCCAAATCCAAGACTTCCACAAAGCCTTCAAAGACTGTTCGACACAGAGGGAGGTCAGTTGRCAGAGATAAAACAAATTGCAGTTGACAACAGTTTATGAAGGGCTACTGATTGCTGTGGTTTTAGGGCAATTTCAGTGGAAAGAACTGTTCCAGAGCTCCGGAACTTGAATTTTTTTAGCAAGCCACCGTGGTTACACTTGGCTACTCATTAGTACAAGGTTGTGAGAATTTAGTGTTCATTTTTCTCCCCCCAGTTAAGAGGTGTATTGAAGACACTGCTGAGTTGACTGGAGTCAAGTCATTGCTTGCTTGCTGGAAGCACCAAGTGTGTGTTTTCCAGTTTTCCTTTGGGATCTCTATCTGCTAAGCCAGCGGGTGGTTAAAAACAAACAAAAACCACTGATGCAGGGTAATGTATTCCAATATCATCAGTAGTGATCACTATATGTATGAAGAGTTGGGATTTCCAAAAACAAGTCATATCTCCAAAATTCAGGGAAGATGCAGGAATGTTGTTGTTTATCATTATCTGGTGGTTCTCATAGCAGATGAGCCTTATTCAGAGAAAGGAATGATGATTTACAGTTGTGCAAGTGGAGAAGTGTCTGTCAGCCATCAGCAGAAATGTCCTCACCTTTTCCAATAATCACCTGATGCAAGAGTCCCTTTCTGGCAAGGATTGTGTTTGTAGGAATACATGATGTAACAAAGCTGGGCAGTAAAGAAGGATCTGTGCACAGAAAAAAAGGGGTTAAGTGGCAAGGTAAACCTAATTTTTTTAGGTGGCAAAAAAATGGAACTCTGAGGAGAAGAGCCCCTCTGAACTCCRCTTTCTGGTAATTCTTCCTCTCCCTCACTCTCACATGTTCACTCCTTTGTCTCCAGCTCTGCATTCCCTGTGCTTACACCTATGTGTTACTGCACAGGGGGAGAAAAAAAAAACAAACAGTCGAGGGCAGAGCTGGATGAGCTGAGAGAGAAACCAGTGGTGATTCTGACTGAGCTGCAGATCTCTGCAACGCAGCTTGCTCCTCTGTTGAGCCTTCTGTGCTTCCTCTAAAGCCCCASTTGTCTTAAGATCCTTGCTTCATCTTCCCCACGTGGGCTCCATAAAGCTCAGTATCCCCCTTCCAGATGCTAAACCTGTTTTCTTAACTCCCTCTAGGCCTTGTAAGTAGAAGACTGCCAGTGGTACAGTGGAAGGTGGGCAAAATTGGAAAATAATGGAGGAAAAATGAGCTCACTAGTTTTGGTGTAGCTTGCGTAAATTAAAACAAAGTAATATGAATCTGAAAGACAAATGTTCCTGTGTTTCTTTTTGAAAGTTCAGAAGTGGCCTAGCACAGAGGTGATAAGGGAAGGCATCTATGTTTATATGCAGATAAGCATAAGAAATAAGTTGAAATTGRAGGTTGCTACTGGATTTTGTCTGTAAGAATTCAGAAAATTAAGAAGGAAAAATTTCAGAAGCCAACATTTTAATGACATGTTGTGATACTGTTGTAGAAGGCCACTGAGTAGTTCAGGTGTGATTTTCCCTTAATGAAGCCATGTTGGCTGTCACCAAGCCCCTCCTTATTTTTCACATACCTTAGCTCAGTTTCCAGAACAATCTGCTCCATGAGCTTCTGGGCACAGAGGTGAGAGTGCCTGACCTGCAGTTGAGACACTTGAGATGTTTTCAAAAGAGAATGTCCCTCTTCTCCCTCGTATTCCCTGAAGAACAAATCTTCCTTAAGGCTTAACTGTGGTGATGTTGCCATCATCTCCCTGCCATGCCCGTTGTCAGCTTGAAGTTTGAAACATTTATTCCCCGAGGCAGAAGTTGAAATGTGAAATGGCATCATGCAGTGTTATGTTGGGTTTAGCTGCTCRATGTTTTGTGAGGAAACACAGAAATCAGATCATCACAGTTCAGTTCAGGGTTGTCTGTTACATGTCAGGAGATCTGGTGGTGATGTGAGTACATGTTGTGTGTCTGGAACAAACAACAAACAAGAGAGAACAACTTCCCTCACCTCCAGCTGAGAGTTGGACCTGTTGGTTTGGCTTGAGCGTGTTCAACTGCAGCACTGACAAGAAATGCTGTTGACTCAGCTCTGTTTATGTTCCTATAACTTACTGATAATTTGGATAGAGCAATAATTTGGATTCCCAGTTGAGGGGAATGCAGAGCACAGTGAGATGAAACACAAAGAGGGTAGGAGATCTCCAGCCTCATGCTCTGCTGAACCAAGGCAAAGGTGATGGAGATGATAGCTCTGCACACCCTCTCTCTCACTGAAAAGGATGCATTGATACAGATCTCGAAGCTCCTTGAGGACCTTTTATCCTCTTTTCCTTGCTATTATTTTTTTAATTGGGATGTGACATCAGTATTACAGTCCTGCAGATCAGGCCATTGTTTGGGGAGGAGAAAAAAGAAGGTGAATTCAGAGCCCTGCCTGCTGCAAGGGGTAGATTTAATTTCARTGGGCTTGTCAGGCTGCATATGAGTTATCTTTGTCTGTCTGATCTAGGCTGGTTGATATTTAGCCAAGAGCCTCAGTAACCAGTTCAGATACCCATCTAGGCCAGGCMAATCCTGCTCTAATGAGGTTAATGCACAGACATGTGCACACTTTCCATGATTAACTCCCTGCTGGAATAGAATGAGCATTCATAGGACAAAATGGTCACTAGAGACACCATCACAAAGGCTGATGTGAAAAGGCTTTGGTTTCACCCAGGCAGTGRTGTGGGTCCTGTATTTTTTTATTTTTATGCCATCAGATCAATTTTACATTATTATTGAATTTTACATGATGTATTTTGTTGGGAAAATCATGGTTTTTTTAAATTTTTCTGTATTGCTCACAAAAAGCTCCGGGCCCTGAGATTGTAGATTTTACATAACAAATCTTAAGAATCTTATGACTGCATGGGATAAATACATAAAAGAAGCATTTTTGAATGGCTTTACATTTGACCAGGCAGGAAAATGTGAGATTTTCATATAGATGTAAGATAGGTTTTTATATGAATTTGCATTGTTAGCAAGACAACACCAAGTTAGCAAGGCTTAATGTTAGATTAGTTATCTATATGGGTTTCGTATTCCTAATTATTATCATTCTGAGAGGTAAATTGCTGGTTACAAATGCAGAGCCTTTTCTAGTGTGTATTTTAAAGGAAAGATTACTTTATAACATTGTCACATGTGAATCCTGTTGCAGTCATTTTTTCACATATGACAACACTAACATTGTGGCAGTGAATACCTAGCTATAATAATATGCTATAAATTTACTTWTAAACAGAAGAAAAATTTAGCAGGCTTCACAAGCTATTTTAGCACAGGATTTGCATGTGAGAGCTGTACCTTTTTGCAGACTTGTGTTACATCTTGTTGGTTTGTTTGTTTTTGAATGTTTGTGCCAGAATTTCACCATCAGATGCYGAATCCACTGCGAGTGAACAATCCAGTGGCAGAGAGACAGGAGAAGAAAGTGCAAGGCCATCAGCTGTTCCAAACGAGGGCAAACCACGCMGAGTAGTGAAGAAGGGTTTGTTGCTTTTTTTTTTTACTCTTTGTATGCTCTAGTGCTTTATTCAGGTTGAAGAGTCACTCTGCTGCTGTAACTTTTCCAAACTCATCTTTGCCTGTTGATTTTTGTGCCTTTTGCTGCGGAAAATCCCTTCCTCTTTTGGTTTTCAGTCTTCTGTTGAAATTGAAGACCTGCACATTCCTTTCATTTCAGCAAATTTTTAAAACAAATGGCTGAGGAGGAATGAATTTTGCCTCCTTTTGTCCCAGCAAAACTCTTCCCAGTTAGGCCTGATGGTGTCTCTCACAGCAGCAGAATTGCAGACAGTTCCATGGGCAGTAGAGGTCACAGCAGGATTTCAGACCACAAGGGTGTGTCTGTAACAGTTAAACTTGGAAAAAGTGAGATGAAAACCAAGACCCCAAAGAGGTGAAAGCTTTACAAAAATGAGTTGTAATTCAGTCATCAAAATGCCTGCGTGATTGTACTTTAGAACATCAAAATTCWGTGCTAATATATTGATAACACTGGTATTTTTTTTGTAAAGAACCATCTTGCTTCCAGTAAAAGTGCCACTATTTTTCTTGGAGGTACCCTGAAATGCATTTATATATATTTATATATCTGAGAAGTTAATAAAATGTTTCAGGAGGRTTTGAGTTGTTCCAACCTGTCTGACTTCAATTCTGTTGCTCTGTTTTAGTGTTCTCCCATTTCTTCTTACTTGGGAAATTCCATCTCTTCATTTTCTATTTTGCTTAAAACTTTATGTTAGGTTTAGCGTTTCGTTTTGGTGTAGAAATGTTAAATGTTGCTGCATCTGAATTACCTGGTAAAGGCAGCAAGGAGACTGTGTAAAATGTGTCTTTTCTACCTATCATGCCCTTAATGTCTAAAATGCATGCTTTTCTCAACATTTGRTGCCTCTAGTTTGCAAATCATAGGGACTATTTTTAGCATTCAGAATTGGAGGCACTGTCTGCAGAGAGCTCTCTACTAAATTGGAGATTCAGTTCCCTTTTTGTGCAGCTGAGATTTGGCAGTTCAAGCCAAGTTCATGCATTTCATTCAAAACTAAATGCAATCATCTTGCTGCTATGTTTTTTTTTCCCAGTTGCCGTTCTAGCTAAATTATTTGTCATAATTACTGTGTTGTCTCTTCTTTTTCCTTTATGTTGTCAGGAGCAAACAGAGTGGGTAAGTAACCAGAGCTGGTATTGAGTACAAATATGAATAGAGGTGTTGGAGTAGCTGCAATTATGTCTTAAGGATGGAAGGGTTTGTTGTCTAAGAAAATAAAATTGCTTTTGAGCTATTGAAGTATAAAAAAAGTCTCAGTWGCACAAATTACAGTAATCCAGCACATTTTTCTAATTTCTTCCTCCCAATTCTTTCAAATTACTGAGGAAAACATCACTGTAGAGGCAAAACTAAGGCAGCTGTTGKTCCTGAAACCATCTTTGAGTAAACAAGTTGGAAATACTGTTAGAATTAATGTATTTACTGGAAGCCCAAGAAAAACAGGAGCTACCTGCAAAGAAACACAAACATTTTGTGGTGAACTGGTGTTTTCTTTGCCAGGATTGACACATGGCAAACACAGGGCAGGAAAAAGCTGGTTTTGATAATGTATAGCACATCTAGTGATAAAATAAGTGTCCTCTGATAGCACTGACCATCTCCTAACAGCCAACCTGCTTTCTGTTGGTGGGTGTCAGGAGTCAGCAGCTGCATCCTGGGGACATCACCTGCTGGGACAGACTGTGTGAAATTTATTTCTAATTACATTCTCTGGTATGATACTGGATCCAGTGGATGARTTGAAGGATCCCATTGACTTTATCTGATTTTGCATGAGTCCTTTTGCACCTCGGTTGCTGTGTCTCTCGAGGGTGCAGGAAGCAGTGGCCTTTCTCTGTCTCCACCTGGTTTGGTTTTCTGATGAAATCACAGCTTCCTGACATTTCAGTTCAATTAACAGTTCCAGCTCAGGGAACAGTGATGAATATCGATCCTGATGTGTGATCTAGTTGTTCAAACATGATTTGACCACTGCCAGAGTATTAGTTACYGCTCCCTTATTTTTTAGTCTCAGCTGAACTAGTCTGAAATCAAAATTTCATTCGTGTMATCTGATAGCTTCATCAGGAAGATTTTCTGAACATGAATAATAGTGTAATGTAAGAACTTTGAAATGAGAAATTACACTTAGCCTGTCTGTCAGAGCTTCTGTAGGTCCTCATTCATGTGTTGAGTTAGAAACATTTCTCCTTTTGTTGTACATATACAGTGGCCTGACTTTATCTACTTTCCTGTATTTCCATCTTGGTTTGTATTTACAAACATACTCAGTGTGTGCACACAGAGAGGATTTCAAGGTCAGATTCAGCTTATGAGGGTTTTTTGTGTGTATCTTTCCTGCAAAAGGGAGTAAGTAACAAAAGATGTTACTATAGAGTYTTGTCAAAATTTGTCATTGGGATAAATTCCATTTTACAAAATGAGTTTAAGAATTCTTTTGGCTAAGAGGCCCCTGCCAAGCCCTTATATGTGTAAAAGGGAAAGTTGTGGGTGAAATGATAAAGATTCAAAGTGAATGCTTGATGTGATTGAAAATACTGGACCTCACTAACCAAGTAATATGAAAATAACCTTAAAATTTTATTTGGAGGTCAGTGAGCTTGGGAACAGCTGRTAGAGTGAGAAGGTTGGGAAAAAATGACTAATGTATGGGAAAAATGGGAAAGATGGATGAAGAAGTTTGGATTTCTGTTGAAATCTCCACAGTTGCTCTGAGAGATTCCCACAAACTGCTGAATGTATCTTGTGCCCCTCTCTGCGAGAGGCAGTGCTTGCACAMTTCTGAGAGATGACAAATGGTTAAGATGATATAAATAGCTGCRAAAGACAGATGGATATGTTTCATTTAGGCTCTGTGTGTAGCAAAAACATTTGGGACACCGAGGTCTTGAATGGAACTGTTTACCTTCTTTTTAAGAACTCTTACACAGAGAAATCACATTTATAAACTATGCATGCCTTTTATAAATGTGTATGTTTGACARTGCTTTGATTGAGTTTGAGAAATACAAACAGGAATTTTGCTTAACCTGTGGCCAGATTGCTTTCCAGCCCAAAAGCAGCGTGCTGTGAATAGAATTAGGCATWCCATTCCTTTCTTGTSCTGCTCCCTGCTGAACCCTRTCCTGCATTACCAGCACRTGTTGCAAAMGCATCTCTGCTTYATTTTTATTTTATTTTTATTCCCCTTCTTGTCTACTCTAAGTAAGATCATGTTGATCAACAATTGATTCTGTATCCGAATCAATTTTTTTTCCTGATTTGAATCTTGAGAATTATACTMCCTTATTAGAAGATTGTGCAGTGATGTGGGACTACGTCCTTCCACACTGTCATTTTCCTCCATAAGGAGATTCACAAGTTTTGATCTCTCATTGTTTGTATTTCATAGAGAAAATCAGTTTGAGAATTTGTGGCTTCCTCACGTGGATAAGACAAAAGGTTATTTCGCAAGTTTTCAATAGTTTTTGCAAGCCTCATCTGCATAATTTCTGGTTTAGGTCAAACTCAGAAAAAAAAAATCATTAAATCTCTGTTTAACTGCAAATCTTTGGGGTGATCCTTTAGATTTCAAGTCTTGAGGGAGATGACCCATTTCTATTGAAGTAATTAACTTCATGAACTGGGGTGCAACTTCCATGTGTGTTGGTTTCCATAATGCCTTTTGCTGATTCTATTTGAGTTGGTTTAACCTCTTCAACAAATTACATGACAATATTTATACAGCTTGCTTATTACTATTTATCCTGTCACAGAGGTCTGCTTTAAAAGCTTTAATCAGTAATATGTCTGTAAAATACTTCGTGTTTTGTGTGGATTTCTAAAGGGTTTTTTGTTTGCTTCTATATCACTCCTGTCACTTAAAAAATACGTTTTGCATTGAGACATCTTTCATTGCTCTTTGAACCCCCATTTGAGCAATTTGCATCTTCTTAAGTACTGATAAGGGGAATCATTAGCAGAATGTACTTAAACAGCTTTTTATGGAGTAAAGTAGACTGAGATTTTGGGCGTTTGCAAATGCCAAGAGCTTGATTTACAGAAATAAAGAATGACAGCTCACCTTCTGGAAATGTAATGKGAAAGTGTTTATAATTTGCAAACCACGGGGTAAACTTGTTGTACACTAAATGTGAGTCAGCTGGGAAGGCCTGTAGGGCAAATTAGACACAGATGGAAACCAGGGGGGATGGTTTTAGAGCACAGCATCTGTAGAGCTGAATATGTGACTGGGATAACCCAGGCAGCGCTGCTTCACTCCSTGTTGGTTGTGGTGATTTAGGACCTCCTCAGAGCAGCAGTGGGAACGAGCAGCACTCCTCAGCCTCCATCTTCGAGCACGTGGACAGGATGTCACGCTCYTCTGATGCCAGCAGAAGGGTCCCCAGCAAGATCCAGCTGATCGCCATGCAGCCCATGGCAGCGCCYCCACTTCAGAACTCAGTGCTCTCTGATCGAGTGGCAGAGACCAACAAAATCAATAAAGAGGTATCTTTAAAGTGCTCTGAATGTTTTTGGAGGTCTGTATGCCCTAGACAAGAGGGAAAGGAAAAGTATCTGGTTTCCTGTTATCTGGAGTTCCTTGTAAATTCCTGTGGGGTTAAATCTTGACAAGGTACAAGATAATCCTGTTTCCACCCAGAGGAATTATTTTTTAAGAGATGCCTGGACCAAAATTTAGGATTTGATGGTCAGGATACCTTGTGTTAGCATCCTTTTGCTAGTCAGCAGGATGTGGCTTAACGAGAGTTGTACTAATTAACGTGTGATAATTGGAACATGTGGCCCACCTTGCTTTTCATTCTACACTRTTCTTSTRCCTTTCAGGACTCAGAATGTTGGTWATACAAAGAAATAATCTCAAAACATTCTGGGTTATGAATTTGCAGCTTTGAGCTTCTGCTGTGTTCACCTGACAGTAAATACACAAAAAAACACCCTGCATCCCTGGGGCATGAGGAGAGGTGGAGATGCACTGTAAAACCACATCCCTGCATCCTGGTTTTGTACTGGGTGTAAGATGACATATTCATAGAGTGAAAGATGCCTGAAACCTGTAACTGAATTTTGCTAAGAGTCTGTGTTTCTCAATACCTTGCTGGAGAGAGGCAAATACATATAACTAGGGGGCAGAGGCAAGAAGAGTCACAAAACAGAAATCTATCTATATGGGCAGAAGACATGATTCTAAATATGAAGAGCAAGTCTGACTTGTGTCCTATATGTGCTTTTTGTTTCTTGATTTTCATGGTAGACTACACAAAAATGGATCTTTATTTGGTTCATAATTTGCTGATGCAGATGTGTTCCAGAACTAGTCCGGCACAGGTTGAGCAGTTGTTTCTACCTGATGTGGTACTCAGATATTTACCAATGATAAAAATGATTTCAGTGTGTGTTGGGCCAGGACTCACAAACTGTGATAGCTTTACCCAGATGACAAGATGCACTCCCTGAAATTTGACAAAAGGTAGGAGAGGCATGAAAACTCAACCTCCAGGAAGATGTAGAGCCCTGTTCATCTGGGGCACCTGGACCCTTGTGTTGCTGCTGCATTCCTGTGTAGCTCATGGCAGCCTCTCGTGCTCAGCAGAGGCACTGAGTTATGAGCTCTGTTGGCTCTTTAATTCTTGGTTCTTCTGTGATGAAGGTCATTAAAGGGAAAAGGTGACAGATTTTAACACTGTTGATCAAAAATATGTCTGTTTGCCTAGCATAGCTAACTACAGACAGGTTAGTTTTTATTTTTTCAGAGCAGTATTACTTCTGGCAGGCAGCCGGAGTTTTTTGTGCTCCTCCTGCCTTTGTTAACAAACTGCCACTTGCCTTTAATTGCACCTGCTGTGCTGGCAATGGTGTTGTGTGTAATGGTACATCTACCTGGRGAGACAATGGGGAGGCTGCAAAATATCCAGGAAAGAAAGTGTGTTCATAAATCGTGTGACTTATCTGAGTCCTTCAGAGATTTGGAGGAGGAGGGAGGCAGGGGTAGGCACAGAGGTGAGGACGAGAGGTTTATGGAAGAGCAGCAAAACCCAGTTTGAAAAAATAGACTGAAAAGATGTTGTTCTTTTTTTATTTWTWTTTTTTTTTAATTTTTCTCTTTCCTTCTTTAAGATACAAACAGCCCTGAGGCATAAATCCGAGATCGAGCATCACCGCAATAAGATTCGCCTCCGTGCCAAGCGCAAAGGGCACTACGAATTCCCTGTGGTGGATGACGTGGTGGTGGTGGACTCCAAGGAGCAGCACAGAATATATCGCAAGGCACAGATGCAGATTGACAAGATCCTGGACCCTGGAGGCAGCGTGCCYACTGTTTTCATAGAGCCCAGGAAGAGGTAGGGATTTCCAAGATGGAAAGAAAAATTTTCTTTTTGATTCAGCACCCAAAGTTGATCAGAACCGTACTTCTTAACTTAAAATAATTTCAGTAACTAGTTGAATTTGAATTATCTAGGTGAAAAGGATTGAGTTGTTCTAAACATTTTTATTTTGTATATGGCCACTATGTTTTGTTTTCAAATTTTTTTTACAAGTTCTCAGCAGTGAGTTTTTGATAAATGAGCCCAAATGTATGAAAACAGCCTTAAAAGAATTTAGTATTTGCTCTGCCATTCGTTTGAATAATTCTTGTGTGGTGTAGAGGGACCCAAATTGCAAATTAGTACTAAAAAAAGAAATCTGCAAGTAATATATATGCAAGTAATATAACCAGCGAGTAATAATATTTTTATAAAGCAGGGGGTGGGGGTGGAAATACACAAAATAAGGAGAACCTTGAACAACCTAAAAAGCATGAAGATTCTGAATGTTAAAGGCAAATTCACAAATCAACGAGATTACCCAGAGAGAATACATAAAAGGTTATGAGGCACATCTGTCAGCCTCACAGATCTGCCTTCCTGGCCTTGTGTTTTCAGAGAAAGTTTTCCCTATGTTCTGTTCAGGGCTTGTGAACAGTGGCACTTTGTTCCTGAAGCAGTGGTACCCTGGGTGTGCTCCTGCACTGCTATAAAGTGGCTTTTCTCCAGTGCTGTGGGTTCCTCRGTGGGTTAAACCCTCGGTACCAAGCACAAAAGGCTCGTTTGGCAGTGGGATGGGTTCTGCAGCCACAGATGTGTGACACGCTGGGCAACTTGGACAGATGGATACAGGAGAGAGGTGACACTGGAGGAAATTTCAGGGAAGAATGGGACATTTAGGAGAATTGCCAGTGAGTGTGGTATTAGGAGAAGCTTGGGGAAAGAGAACTGAGCTGCCTAATGGGACTTGAAAAACTGGAAGAGGGAAGAGAAACCGGAGGCAAGGRTGACTTACAGGAAATGGGCAGAGGAGTTCAACCTTGAGTGGGATGAGAAAAAAAAATGACAGAAATGAATGCAATTACCTTTTGTCTCTCTTTCTCTGCTTTTTGTTTTCTTCCTGTTAAGTTCTCGTGCAAAACGTTCTCCGAAGCAGCGCCGTCGCCATCAGATAAACGGGAGTCCCATCGATGCCGAAAAGGACAGRCTGATCACCACTGACAGTGATGGCACATACAAAAGGCCTCCAGGAGTCAATAATTCTGCATATATTGTATGTATGTCTCTTAAGGGCAGGAATGTTCTGATAATGATGACAGTTGTGACATTGGGAGGTTTTTGGCCTTCTGTTTATGGCCTATATGATATGAGTTTGAGTCATATTGTTAGCATATAAATCAAAGTGAAATAAGAATTTCATTCACAGTCTGTCATTATTAAGCAGTAAAATTCTGCCAAGTATTCCTTTATATTACRGAGGCCAAGAACCAAAGCCTTGTTTTCATTAATGCCACTGTGTTATGCACATGAAAGTGTGCTCRGCATGTTCCACAATGTCTTGAACATAGTTCCACTCTAGTCCAATTTGCTGGGTGTTATATATTCATACGTTACAGAAGATTTCATCCTTTGCTCTTAACAGAGTGGAAGACTCAGTTCTTCTTGTGAAATGTTTTCTCATCTTTCAAAWRTGKGAATTAATTATTAATGAAAGAGAAACACGTCTTTGTACTGCAGTAACTTGAAACAATTCTAGTGCAGTGTCTTGAAAATTAATTTTGTTTCACRTCTAAAAAAGAAAGACGCTGGAGAATACTTCTGTTCAATCATATCCATGTTACAAACAGTATTTAGGCATATTTAACCACTTGTAAGCAGATTTCATGAAGCCAAATGCTAATATTAGAAGCCCCTGGACAGTTCTCATCTTTAAAAATGGTTTAATAATTTCACTGTTTGCTGCATCTGYGGTCAGGTGACTCTGATGTCGATTTCTGCAATTTCCCTTTGCCTTTAACCATGAGTGTGATGATTTTAATGTCATGCTGCAGTAGAATGAATTATCATCTGAAGCTGTTTAATTAAGACATGGCACACAGCAGGCTCAGCCCCTTTGGCATCTGCAGTGAGACTGCTCAGAATGCTAAGTTCCTAATAAAGTAGGGGCTTGTGCCTCTTGACGACTGATCCTGCAGTGGTAAGAATGAGCTCTGATAATAAGTCTGCTGCTGTAAAGCTCGTTTAATTTCCTCTCACTGATGAACAATAAGCCCATGTGGTAAGATCCCAGGTAGTAATTATGATGCATGCCTAAGGTATTGCTGCAGTGAAGCACTTCTATGAATCCCATTCAGGTGCTGCACCCAAGTTCAAGTTCCATGCAGGCAACCACTTGGTTCCTTCGAAGCTTCCTTTGTGTGTTTTTCTAGGAGGTGATAATTGCTGATGTGGTCAGTTATAAGCTAAAGACTGAATTAATTTCTCAGAACTGCAAAAGCTGCAAAKAAGTGAAAGATGCAGACAGAGCTGATTGTCTTTTTCTGCGTGGAGAAACGCTCTTTGCACGCCTTCACCACTCGCTTGCAAACCGCAAGATTTATGTTACCGCTGAGTAACTCCTGAAATCAGAGTCCTTCAGATGATGCTGAATGAAGTGTTTGAGCTGTCGGTGTTGTGTCTGTGCTGGAGTGGGGAGGGGAAGGGGAGATGCCATGGTTCTGGTAGAGACAGTGCTCGGACCCAAGTCCCACAGGGGCTCGGAAGCTGGTGGAAACAGGTGAGATCCTCTCCATGTCTGCCCTTCACCCTGTCTCTGTTCRCTGCAGTCTGACCCAGACCTGCCCCCTGAGCCACAGACATCCTCGTCAGCCGAGCTGGCCAAGTTCCCCGGGCTGCCATCACAGCCGGTGTCGCAGTACGTGCCGCCGCAGCCGTCCATCGAGGAGGCGCGCCAGACCATGCACTCGCTGCTGGACGACGCCTTCGCCCTGGTGGCTCCCAGCGGCCCCGCCGCCAATTCCACACCGGCCGGGGGCTCGGGACAGCCGGTGAGCAGCGGGGATCCCTTCCTGGGGCAGGAACAGCACTTTTAGCATCAGGGATGTGGTTTGGAAGGTGTYTCTGGGCAGGTAGTTAGCAGCGGTCAAGCCACGGCCGCTGCTGTTGTGCCCTTGCTGTCAGGACTTAGCACAAATGTGGAGCTTTCCTGGAACAAGGAGAATTCAGAAATGACCATCACAAAATGGTTTCTTTTCCCTTTTCCCATCTCAACCACAAGAGAAGATAGGAGTTCTCCTTTTGGATAACTTTTCTGTTCTTCTCAGTTAGGAGTTTTCACTGTATCCGAGAGTAAAACTAGTAAAACTTGCTTTTTTTTTTTTTTTTTTTAGTGTTTTTGGTAATTCCTTTTTTGACAATGAAAAAAATAATGTATTTGGCATTAGTCATTTCTCAGCAGAATATCCAAATGTTTCCAGGGTGTGAGGGATAGAAAAGCCATATTTCTGTGTATGWTTTTTTTTTGCTTTTGATGGAGCACTGAGACACGTGGGTAATGTTTTAGGTTGTCTCAAGTTCTGTTGCGTCTGAGCCCTGTGGTCTCTCTGCTGCAGTCTGATGCTCTTTGAGGTCGGCAGAGATTTCCAAATGYAAAGCTTGGTTTTTAGCTAAGTAGACATTGGAGCAGCTCTTCATCTTGTGCAAATGAGAAAAAGTATTTCTGGAAGGTTTTTAAGTTAAGACTCTGATCCCTCAGAAGAGATTCTAGCTGTAGCAGTGATCCCCAGATCCTGTGCTTCTTTGTTTGTAAAACTGAAGTTCATATGGCTGCCATCAAGTCATCCATAAAGGCTCAGTGATCTCTGCCATTCATGACTTAAAAGGCTGACTGTGGACTTCCCAGGGAATGCATTTTAATTTTAATTTGATGGTTTTTTTCCATTCTTCTGACAGAGATACATGGAATTTGGRATGACTCCGCCAACAGCGCCAGGTCTCCTACCAAGGTAGCTTTTTGCTGATAAAATTATCATTTATTATTTTCCTTGCTATTACTCCAAATTTCTTAACTGGCACTGGTATATTATTATGCAAAGTACTGGATAAATGAGAAATAACAGGAGTCCAGCTCCAGTCTGCCTAATTTATTTATGGAGCACAARTGACATATGTATGCTGTATGGAACCCAGGCCTCTGTTTAAAAGAAACATGTTTTAGCCCCTCAGCTACAGAGATAACCTTCCAAATGTTCAGTAAACCACTGAGKTGGAGCTTTTGGAGAGCCTGAAACAGTTACTCASATGCATGTAATTCTCCCAATACTCYTGCTTTCATCTTGTTTCTGTATYCTCAGGGCAACACTCATTCACAACAGCTTTTATCTGACTAACAGATTCATTCTATTTTTAACCGAGTTGAGAACAAATGACAGAGCACAGTGACCCTCRCAGAGAAAGTCTGCCTTGCAGCCCTATTATTATACAATCAGGGGGAAAACAAATTTTCCATCTTCTCCTGCCCTTGCTGTGGGAGAATTGTGTAAAGGGAGGAAAGCAGTTGTCCAGGTGACTGCTAACTTCACATTTGGTTCATGAGTTTTAACCACATGTGAAGTTGGACTCTTGATACTCACTGATTTATCTCTCCCTCTCCAAGCTGCTACAGCCAGGCTGGTAAAATGTTGGCCTTGTGCTGCTCTCATTTCGTTCTTGAGTTCACCAGATGAGATGAATTCCCAAGGCTGTTCATGTCATTCATCARACTTCACCCTGAAGTCTTCACTGCCTTGGAAATTTGATGGTAAAATGGCTGTGAAGAACTCTCCTTTACTGTGCTGCAACCTGATTTTGAAAACAGCAAGCAGAAAAAGAGGAGTTTCTGAGTATCTTGCTTAATTTTTGGCTGGAGGTGACAGTTTCAGTGTGAGTGGAGCATACGTGAAATAGCACACAATGTGACATGTGCTACACTTGTTGTAATTTAGGTTACCCTGAAGATTATGAGTTTTGAGGCTGCCAGTGCAAAGCATAACAAATTGTTTGTTATTGAGGAGATTTTTGTCTTTGTTAGCCTGTTTCATATTCAGGGAAAACACGATAAATTAAGCATGAAAGTGCTGTGGTCCATGTTAATACACCTGAGCAAGACAGTGTCTTCACAACATATTTTTTGTTGAAATGTTTATCATTCTTTGGCACAGGCAGTCTGAATTTATGTAAATTACAAGTTAATGGCAACATGATTAAAAGTTCAGATGCTGCCTTTGCCAGTGCTGACAGATTAGGTTAACATTGCAAAGTCATTGACATTAACAGAAAGAACTCCTCTAAGTTTTTATKAAAATAGAAAGTTTCCTAAAGCTTGGTCAAGAGAAAACAAGGAMAGTGGTTGTGCAGTGGGAGTTATTCTCAAAATCTGATGATAATGATAAACAAAATGATAGAAGCAGTGCACCAGTTAGAGGAAGGAAAAATAACCTGAGGTCAGAGTGATTAGGTGGCATGTATCAATGTCATAGCCCATTGCCTTAAATATCCAATGCATGGAATAATGGTTGGGTGAGCATACTGYTCTCTTCTCTGTAATAATGCAATCAGCATCTTTAATGGGGTGGAACCAACCTGGRGAAAAAAAAAAGAAATGTAAAAGACCTAGGTCACACAACAGCGAGACAGACGTAAAGGCACAATGGACAGCTTTTGCCAGAAAATGGATATTGCATCATGGAACAGAGGTAGAGATACTCAGCTATTATGGATTAGTGGTGTGAAATTGATTTTTGGAGCGGTATMTCCCAACTTAAATGACTGGAGATAATTTTGGGGGGTTTTTTGGATGTGCAAAACTCAAAAACTGAGTTTCAGTGTGAAAGTCTAGAAAGTCCATGTGATAGAATTGCATAGCTGTACCCTGGTTTTATACTCTTAGTTGATCTTTGACTTTAAAGAAGATTGAGAAGGTAAAGTGTTGTTAAATGTGTGTCTTTCAAGTGCAAACACATCAGCAATAAAGGATTTACTTCCTGTCCTCTGAAAAATTGACGCAAAAAGAATACATTTGCAACAATGTTATGAAAATATTTTCTTTAGACAACATCAAAAAATTGCAGTATTCATCAGCTTCAAAATTCCAGCTCAACACTGTGGGCATAAAGGGCCAGATGATCACATCCTTTACTGATTATAGTGATTAACATAACAGAAGTGATATTGTTAAACATTACCTACCTGCTGAAGCATTTATTTTAACTAGCCTGTGTGGCTGGGAATGGTTTCCTCTGGATTTGCTGAGTGGGACAGGTGGGGATTGTATGTGAGGGAACTGGGGAAATTCTAGCACTTCCACAGTGGGATTGTTACACCTTGAAGCCCTTAAACCTCCTCTGTTTAGTAACACTGTTTGCCAAAAAGCTGGTAATTTTATTTACAATTACTCGTTTGTGCTTCATTAGGCAATGGATTATGTCAGCTCTCTTTGCTTTCTGGCTGTCCTRCAAAGGTGGGTAGTTTTCCAAATAAAGCACAAATCAAGAATAGTCTGAATTAGATGCAGTCACAGGATTTTCTGGTAAAACAAAGGGGTRTAAAATGAGGTGTTGAGGAATAGGATGCATTGCAATCTGTAGCCTAGGAGGGCTCAGATGCCATTGTGGTAAAAGGCTTGTAAAACTCATCCCTAGCCCTCACTTTGTGCCTGAGTTTGGGTGTTTATCTCACTTTGCTTCATTGACACTCACACAATTAGGTTAGATTTGTTACAGTTTATGATTTAACTCTTTTTAGCAAATACCAGTGACTACCAGCACCCGCCTGATTTATAGGGAATTATAATTTCAGTGTACATTGGTTTCTTCCTATGTGTCATTGACAGCTTTGAGTCGTTTCATGAATTGTAAATAGCACAGTTTTGAAAACTTTCTGAAAAAGTATCAGAATGCTTCATGAAGTAATAATGGTTCATGAAATACACATGTAATGCAGTTTGTATGCTTTGGTTTAGACCCAAACTGTGTGCCCAGAAGCTCAAGAGTCAACTTTGTTGCTGAGTTAAGCAGCTACATCACTGCTGAAATCTTACTTTTCTWWTTTTTTTTTYMMTKRA